AGGACAATTGAAAATATATACTTTATTCGAACATAGTTCTGAAGGCATGCCAAGTTTGCTACAGTTTTGCTACATTTCTGTGGTTTTCATCCCGATTCTGTGATTTTATCGATAGGACCGCATCCGTCAGAGCAGAAGTCCCCGACTCCGGTCAATAATGTTGGGGGATCCCGTGGGGAATCGGGGGTTGAGGGGGGGGGTTGTTCATACCACAAATCAGGTAAATCACATCAGCAGCTTGTGAATGAAGTTTGATTTGACATGTGTTGGCAAGTGTCATAGCAGTTTGCTGAATGATTTATACATAACCTTTATGATGTCAAAAACGCCTGAAAAGCCATTGAAACTTTGACGGTTGGATATTGTACAAAAAGAATGTGGGAAATTTAAAATCCGAGCCAAGGATAGCATTTCAGGTGATAAAGAAAGTGAAAAATGTAGAAGATTCGGCCACGGATGATTCGACACGGCGTTGCGCGAACGAACGAGCAAGTGAACCGCATCTTCAACGCACGAACTACCAGTAGGATCGCCGTATGAACCAAAACTCCCTCAGAGATTCTAGCAACATTATTCTGTTGATATTATATTCGATGATATATATTTAAACATAAAATCGGATATATGAGAATATATGAGAATGAGTATATCTTAGTTCAGGGATGTTCATTTGTTTTGATAACGCGTCAGAATGAAAGGGCTGCCAATCGGAAGTGTGTCATCGTTTTAGAGGCACTTTATATGAATATAGGAGAAAATATTGCGCTTTGTTAAGATGTTAGGGTAGATTAATTAACTCCTAGGGTTGATTAACAAGCTAGCGGCGCTAGCTTCTCAGCTATTTTGAAATGCGCGCTCAAACTGTTACCAAACGCCAATTAAATAAACTCCACCTTCAACTTATGAATAACTTATCCTTCTCCGAGATTGTTGGTGGGAATACTTTTCTGTTGCTTTTAAAACCCAAATATGTATATGTCGTAGCTATTTTGACTTTTCTATGTTCTCCAATGACTGTTACGATTTGTACTTTATAGAAAAACACCCTCATGTCTGGCATCACTTAACAACGCATGCCTGCCTAGGATAACGTTTTAAGCAGGGAACGGTACAGTTTTTTGGCCTATTGGCAAGAATTCTTGCCCAAGCGCTCCCCTGCTTAAAACGCTTTTAGAGTCCTGTAACTATGTTGTCAGGGAAACCATTGCTCTTGAAATAATTTACTAAGAATTTGATTTCGTCATTAAATTGGATTCTGGTGGACCAAATATTAAATGTTCTCTTGATTAGAGTGGTAATGCTATTAATATTATACTTCTGGAGTGAGAAACTCAAGTAATCCATTCCCAAACCGGCGAAAGTAGGTTTTCTTTGGATATCAAAGTGACAAGAAAGGAAAGATTGTTTTATTTTTATGTTTTTTATGTTTCACACGTAAACTTAATGTTTGGATGTTGTTCATTCAGATATGGCAAAAACTTTTCGATGTGTGAAGTTAGTTATCGAAAGTAGTCTCTTGTAGCAACATTTAAAAAGGAATTAAATTGTGTTTTGTTGAGACCAAATTGTGATAAAGACTCGTCAGATGTGGTGTCTGTAATAATCTGGGTAGTTTCTGACAGAGGAACGTTTGTGAATAGTGATTCAACATCAAAGGTTGCCATTATTGTAGAATCTTCAATATTAAGTTGTTTCATTTCATTTTCGAATTCCAAGGTATTGGCAGTGGTGTACTCATTCGTGGTAAGGGGTTCTATGATTTGGACTAGGATTTCGGCAAGGTTATAATTAAAAGTCTTAATTGAGGATATAGTAGGTCACAGAGGTGTACCAATCTTATGAACTTTGGGGTCCATTTAAACCCGGGACGGGAGCCAGAAGCGAGAAAGGACATATGAGGCTTCGTTAATGGTTTCTTTTAGCCGTAAGATTCTATTTAATTTATCTTCAAGTTTGAGGAGGTGCCTGATCCTCAACATATAGAACATTTAGAAGTCTGAATTTAGATGAGTGTTTTTACTTTCGAAAACGTTAACAGCTGTAACGTTGTTTTAGTATAAATGCACCCAATACATTTGTTGAGTTAGTTGTTCTTGGCCTCAAATAAGCGATTACTGTAAATCTTTACGAGCCCCCTGGGCCCCAGGGTCATTGCCCCGCCTCCCCCCTGTCGGAGGTCCTGTGTGTGTGTATATATATGCATATATATACATACATATATATATATATATATGTATATATACATATATATAATATATATTATATATATATATATATATATGAGAGAGAGAAAGAGAGGCAGAGGCAACCAGGAACAGACTGAGAAGTAACTCTCATATTATGTTGAGTCTCCCCTCAACGCAGTCCCGTTCTCTCCATCAGTTCCTTCGTTTTCTTCTACAGACCCAATCTAGCGGTAACCCTACCCCCTCACTGGGCCCCCTAGCGTGCCCCCAACCTCCAGATATCTTACCAACCCCTACCCCCTACCCACCAAGGCTAACGTCTCTGCACTCGCTTCCCTGATCAGTGTGGTCTGGCACTGTGGCACAGCTGGGTATAAACTAACATGGCAGCGCTGACAGTGGTACGTTCGTCCTCTTGGTTCTGTTCTGTGCTAATGAATGAATCGCTGCATATGTCGAATTATCAGGTAGATTTTATGAATCGTATTGATCGTGTGAATGGATTCTGTTGCCAAATGTGTGTGTGTTGTGTGTAAACTTTGTGATTTTGTTTTTTTCTTTAGTTGGTGAGAATATAATGACACGGTAATTGTATTGGAATTATGAAGAGTTGAGGTGTCTGTTCTCGCTGTTGCCATCTTTGTCTGAGTGTGTTTGTGTCTGTATGTATGTATTTATCTCTCTATGTACTCCCTCTCTCTCATCCTCACTCTCCTACTCCCTTCCTCCTCATTCTCTATCTCCCTCTCCATCTCCCCCTCCCCTCCTCTCTCCTTCTTCCTCTTCCCTCTCTCTTCCACCCTTTTCTAAATTCAGTCATACGCATTTACAAAATTATGAAACTTCCTCTATTCGACCTCACAACATCAGGCGTCTTGCTCAAAGGGAAGCAACCGCCGAGCGCTGCTTCTCTGTCCTCGACCTTGGGTTGTATTTGTTGAATCTGTTTGTCTGTCTGTCTGTTTCTTTGTTTAGGTCTCTCTCTCTCTCTCTCTCTCTCTCTCTCTCTCTCTCTCTCTCTCTCTCTCTCTCTCTCTCTCTCTCTCTCTCTCTCTCTCTCTCTCTCTCTCTCTTCTTCCTCTCTTCCCTCTCTTCCTCTCTTCCCTCTCTCCTCTCCCTCTTTCCTCTCTTCCCTCTCTCCCTCTCTCCCTCTCTCCCTCTCTTCCCTCTCTCCTTCTATTCCTCTCAACCCCCCTCTCTAGATAGATAGATAGATAGATAGATAGATAGAACAGATAGATAGACAGACAGATAAACAGGCATGCAGACAGACAGACAAATATAAACAGATAAATTGGTAGATAGCTAGATAGATAGATATATAAGAAGAAGGGGGATGAGAGAGAGAGAAATAGAGATAGAGAGAGAGAAAAGAAAAGAGGTCTCTTTTTCTCCCTTTCCCTAATCCCATCTGTGTTTCTCCATTTATCAACCTCTATCAGCTTATGTCCTTTTCCGAAACTAGGATCGCCAGTGCGTATTTTCTTTGAAGCTTTATGGAATATCAATTAAGGTTTTGGGAGGATATCAAAATCATGAACTTAGAATGTATTTATTCCAAGATTAATCTGAAGCAATAAAAAGGGGGTTGATGATTGAATATCTATTGATTCTATTGACTAGATATTGATGAGGAATTATTAAACTGATATGATCATTGTCTGAATTTCGTGGTAGTGTTAGCGTTCCATGCGCGTTTTTCTGTATTGTGTATTTCCATTTCTATCTCTGTTTCTGTTTTATTCTCCTGTTCATTTTCTTTCAATTCTTTCCCTCCGCTCACTTTCTCCCTTCCTTCGCCACTCCCTTTTCTCGAGATCCTTCAGCACACTCGGAAATCCTCCCAAATCACTTATTTCTTCTCCTTGTCTCGTTTCCCTTGTCTTCCCTTTTCGCGAAATACACGAGTATGATCAAAATTCTCGCTCCTCGAATTCACGTGGAACAAATTGCAAAAGGGATGAGGACAAGAAAACACGCGAATATTCCGAAGACCTTTTCGTTGCATTGCTTCCTTAGGGCGTGAAGAAGCAACACAGCGAGGAGAGCTTTGGCGTATTCGTGCGTTTTCTAGTTCTTCCCTTCGTTGTTCCTTTTCCGTCCTTCCCCCGATCTGCCGCTTGCCACCAGGTCCAAACGCACACACAAAACCTCCCAAATCCTACAGGAAATGAGTATGTCTTTTGCCTCTTCCCTCGGTCCCTGTCTCTCCCTCGCATATCCCACAAGGACACTCCAAAATCCTCACAAATCCCACAGGATATTGGCGCTGCTCATGTCCTTTCTCCAGCTCTTTTCCCTCCCTTGTCTTTCCCCTTTTCCCGAGGTACACGTGGATATGTTGATTCCTCTTACATCCTGCGGGAAATTAGTTCCGCTCATGGTTCGTCCCTCGCTTCTCTCCTTAGTCCCAGATCCACACCGCGTTCGAAAAACCCTGCAGGATTCACTTGCATATTTAGAATCCGTCTAAATCCTGCGGTTAATTGATACCGCTCGTTTATCTTTATTTTCCCCCCTCCCTCGCCTTTCCTTTTTCTCGAGATGCACACGCACAAAAAAGTCCTGCCACATCCTGCAGGAGAGCGGGGCGCGCGTCGTGGACCTGCGGAGCGACACCCTGACGCAGCCTTCCCCGGCCATGAAGGAGGCGATGATGGCGGCGCCTCTCGGGGACGACGTGTTCGGCGAGGACCCGACCGTCATCGGTGAGTCCTGCCACGGGGACTCCCCTCGGCGCGTCCGTGGGGAGCGTCCTGCGGGAGGAAAGGGGACCGCCCTCCGCGCCCGGGGGTTTGGTGGCAGGGATGAAGA